TATTCAAACAAGTTTTTATTCCCAGAATTTTTCAATGGTTACCCGCAATTATAATTTTTTATTTACACTACCTTTCTAATAGGGTTAATAGAATTTTGCAGTCTATTTAGCTATGTACAAATAAAGAAGTCTGAAGTATGTCTGACCATATAATGAACCTGAAGCTTATCAAATAACTTCCAAATAAATTCAAGTCTCTCAATAAGCTCTTCATCATTAGTAAGTTTAATAACAGCATTCATATTTAATATGCCCTCTAAAATGCTTGTGAATATGAATTCATCCTTACACCACCCAATATAGCCATCATGACCTTTTCTGGTAACAAAGTCAATTATATAGTCTATTTCTTTATTAACTTTTTCAGTTAATTTAGAAACCGACTCATTCTCTAAGGATTCTATCAGATTGCATGCCATAAGCATGTGAATCGCTGATTGACGTGTTTGAATATCGTTTCTATATAAATTCATGCTCTCGACGTCGAATAACGAACTTTCGGTTTGTGCATCAGCCTGGGTTAATTTCCACTTGAGTTGTGGCTTGGAGTTGATAAAATTGTCAACAAATATAGGTTCGCTAATAGTGGATCCAAATTTCGCCAAGAAGTTTTGTCCGAAGACAGCAGTTATGGCTGTTGGCACCATGGTGAATTCAAAAGCGAAAAAACGCGATAAACATTTAGCAGATTCATATCGAATATCTTCATCATCATCGTATAACGCCAAATAAAGCATAAATACCCCTTTGGCAACATAAATATCACGTTCCTTTTTCTTCATAGTAGTTGTAACAAACGCAATAATAGCATTCACTGACGACAACCTAACGATAGCAGGTCTTCCATCGCCAGCAAACTCATAGGCCAAATCCAAAAATCTATGCAAATTACTTGTATCGTCATCATTAGCACAGCTAGAAATTTGACCTATCAAAGGTCCTAATGCCTCCAACGCTTTCGAATTTGAGTCTTCACTGTACTCCTTCAGGGTAAATGAAATTAAGATTTCAATTTTGGAATTCAACTCTTTCCTCTCTAATTCTTCTCCTCTAGACGTAACCTTTCTTATCAATTCTAAAGCGTTAGACCTAACAAAACTCCAACATGAGCCGTCCTTGACTAAATCCCATAGCTCTTCAAGAATTGCAGTATAGTAATTCTTACTATCCATTTCAATAATGTGGTTTATATGAGAATCACAGAAACGAATGGCTGCTAATTGAACTTCGTAAACATCCTTAGAGAGCAAACATAGTCTAATTAAATCAATTATGTCTTCTATTCTTCCCATTTTCAAGTACTGAGAAAGTACGAGTTCTGTCATTGTTGAGAGAAGTAACTGCCTGGCCCCATTTAGGGTGTTATCGAATATATCAGTCGTCAAGTTCCGTATTATGAAATTACCCATGATATTTAAATTAATGTTTCCAAGTGAAATTTCAATGTTATTCACTAAAACACATTTTACAATATCCACGAAGCATTTAGCTGTTGACCATGAAAACATGTTGTTATCTGTAAGAAATGCGATTGTATGTTCAAATATGCTGCTTGCTTCTCTATCGGTTAACCTATAATCTGGTAACTTTGTTTCAATTCTCTTAATAATTTCTAAAATTGACAATAAATTTCCATGAATGGAATTAAGGTCTCCATGAGAATCATGACAATTGTCAATTAAAATACGTATAGTTGGTATAAGGCTATCTGGTAATAGAATTGCTGCTAATGATTTAGCAGCCATTTCACGTACTTTCCAATAATTATGATGCAGACATTTAATTAATAAGGTTTCAAACTTTTGCAACTTGGGATCGAAAGTGGATACATTTTCTAATCTAGAAAGAATGGTTAATATCGGAAATATTACATTGAATTTCGTATCTTCCTCAACTGCAGAAGAAGCATCTACTAAGTTTTGGAACAAAATATCTTCAATGCCATTGTATTTAGCAAAGAATAATCTTGATGATATGCATGGTAGAAGTTCACCTAATTTGGATGTACCAAATAAACGATTCTGTAATGCAGTAAACAACATTACTGCACAATTTCTAATTGCCCATGTAGGGTTATAAAAATTTATTAATGATAATGTCAAAACTTGGTTGACGTATGGAGCACAGAGTGATGATAGTTGTGAATCAATAAATATGTGTTTGATACAGTTGAAAGCATGAACTTGAGGAATGTCCATTTTTTCATCTGCATTTTGTATATATTCCTCCTTAGCAATGCTTATTAATTCCTGAAAAGTGTAATCAATGAGATCTTTGTATTCGTCGGACTTATTGTAAGATTTTTCAGCTGTCAAAATAGCCGTAATAAGATATGGCAATCCCCCTGATCTTCTGCTAATAAATTGAGCTTTCGATTTAATTAATTTGATGTTCTGCCTCAACCATAAGCTTGGTTTGCTTGCAAGCTCCTCATCATTGCTTTTGAAGCATATTTCGCAAGCAGAGACAAAAGACGGATAAACTGAAGAGAATGCACCACGGTGTTTAACTGATGCCAATTGATCCATTATTAAGTTTGCACCTGAATGAAAAGTAGTCTTATCTATAAGGGCATTTTTTTCGGGGTTACTTGTCTCCAAAATAGTGCTAAGTAGGGCTGTGGATTCCTTAATTGCTTTCCAGCTATAGTTCAAAACTAATTTGTCTTCAATCAACTCATTACCTTCATTATCGTCTGTTGCATTGGATAATAATGGTTTGGTTTGCATCCAAATTTTCTTAACTTGACTAAAAATATGCAAGAATAGTCTTGTCCAATATGGTGTTTCAACACTATATCTCTTTTTATCGATGCTTTGGAAAATTAATTTCAAAGCTGTGAATATCCCATGAACTCTCTGTTCTCTAGGAAGTTTTTCATTGCTAAATTCGTGGTTTAGACCAAAATCTAATTTATCTACAAGTGTTTTGATTAAGCCTTTCAATCTCAGAGTGTCATCCATGTGATCGTATGACTGGGCTAAAAATTGCAAAACCTTTGCACCACCTTCACTCTTCTTACCTTTTAATTCGGTAAGAGTGATTAAAGCTTTATCGATAATATCCTGTTCTGCAAATAATATGTTTTCCGATAATATGGTCTCTGAACAACCTAACAAGAGATTGACACTGGCATCCCTTATATCTTCATAATTGTTAGTAATATTATCAATTATCAACCGTAATAATTGATAATCGAATATTTCAATAGAAAATGGAAATACCATTTTATTATTGCTTATCTTTATTTTGGTCTTTGTGGATAATTTGTCGTACGCTTGAGACCTAGGAACATTATCTAAATTTAAATCTACTAATATCTGTAACAGCTTCATACTCAAAGATAATTGAGCGTATGATGATCCTGGTATGAAGTTTCTTTTCAAGAAATTGAGAAACCAAGTTAAAAAGTCATATCCGTATGTGATCAATTCCTGTAACTCATTCTGCCTAGATAAATCATAGTTCTTCCTGCGTATCTTCTCTAGATCTCGTGATAAAGAGTACATGGAGTCTCTAATACGAATTAAAAACTGTCTTAATAATGAAGCAAAATCGTTTCTAAACTCAACACTATCACAGTCCATGAAAAATATTTGCAAAATATTCTTATTAATCAATACGTCGTAAACTGGCTTTTGTATTGTCTGAGATCCTTTTGCCGAGCCAACTAACAATGCGAAGGAACTTATTCTAAATTTGGAGTCCTTGTGTGTTAAAAGTCTAGTGATATAGTCAAACGGTACAATCGTGTTCAGTTTATGAAGAATTTCCGGCATTAAAGCTAAATCCTGGCCAACTTTCAATAATCCAAGGTATATGTCAATTTCTGAGTTCGATAATTCATTTAAATGGAGGGACAAATTCCTTTCTATAAATATACCGTATGACTTGGGTGAAATTTTGAACAATAACGGTAATAAGTATACCTGAATATTCCGGCTTAAATCTTTGTCATTTAGTCCGTTCATTACTAAACCTTGCCATTTGTCCATCCACTCTTCGTCGTGACCCTTTTCATATAATCTCTGGTAAATCGATACAAATGCCTTGCTAGCTGCATTAGCCAACGGGTTCGACCACATGATCCCTATGCATCTCTCGGTAAATCTTTCGTGTTCTGCCAATATGTACTGCTTGTCTATTTCCTTGGACAATATATCGACTAAGAAGTAAAGGTTCCTAGATGTATACGGCAACTTCATAGCCTGATCTGCCCATCGATGAAATAAGTCTATATGTAGCGGCATTAATACCTTACACAATCCTATTAACCTATGCAACAATGACACCAAAGAGTTCACAAGTGGCCCTGTACCACTCTCCAAAAAATCCATGATATACTCAAATATTCTGCTATTAGTATCTTCGGTTAGCACTTCACGCAACTGTTCCGCATGCTGCATTCGCATCGCTTTGATGCTTCTTAACATCCAAATACATAACGTATCGCTACATAGTATCCGTGCACTATCCACCGAGTCTGCATTGATCAATGTCCAATACAAACTTGGGAATATCTCCCTCAATTCTTCTGGTCGTACTTCTTTATTTGCGATAAGGTATTGCTCAACGGATTTTAGGTCTACCTCACTCAACGTTTTCTTCAAGCAATTTTCTAATTCTTCTTGGTTTTTTTTGCCAACGAGATCTAATATTTCCTTCATAACCTGCTCTAACTTTCGTCGTTCCAATAAACCACTTATACGAAGTGCTTCTGTACTGGGTCTGAAGCGATGATCTTCTCTTAAGCAGAAGAATGAAAAATTCGATCGCGTCGTGCGACTATCCATAGGCAGTTCTCATCTATCATACTCGGCTATCCTCAGCCATACTGTCATTCTTCAATAACATACTTCTAATCCAACATAATACTGTCGCAAACGCAAATAGAAAGACTATAGAGTCAAATATAACTACGAGAAGTCAAAGTCGAAGTCAAATTATAAAATTTTGAACGTATATTAAACCAAAGACCCCTATACACGAAGTAGTAAAATATGCCTTATTCTCCAGCTAAACTATTCGATATTTACTGGTATTCATTCCCATATGTCATGTTGACAAAGCCTGAACGCATGTGCTTACGTATGTATTTTATTAAAAATAAGTGATCTTGAACCATATCAAGAAAACATTACTAACCATTTAGACTTCTTTTTCCTTTCGTTTGCATTATTTATTGGTTACGGCATTGTTTTCTACATTCCTTCCAATACCATGTTTCTCTTATCTAGAGGATACTACTATCTCTCTGGTACTGATACGGTTCAAAACATAAGTGTCCAATCTCTTTGAAAACTGGGGGAAAAGGGGTCAAAAACTTTTCCAACGTTAACCGTGTTGGATATTTTAAGAGTCTTTATGACACCGGTAGAAAGAAGCTAGTTTACCACAATATCTACAAATACATATTAAAGATAATGATTGTTATATAGCTTATTTTGTTTGTGTATATTATTGCATCTATTATGCGTTCTAATCAACATTGTATTATGATGAACTGTATTATATAGTGACAGAAATCGCGTCGCACTGAAAATACAAATATATATATTTTGAATTGAACATTTGACAATACTAAATGTATAAATCAAAATTAAGAGCAGCTTTCAAGCCACCGCGGCGTATTGACCTGTCTCAATCGTCATTAGACGCGAAATCAAGCTCTCCTGCGCCAATTAATCAAAGTGTTGATGCCAAAGTATCGCAAGATAAAGAAGCTAGTCCTTATCGCGCAGCATCCAGCGAGCTGAGTCGCCAGGAATATAAAAGGCCGAAGATTAACTCAAATGTCATGAAAGCTGAAGACTCGCTGGCTGTTTCAACGGCTGGTCCCAAAGATGAGGAATCGGTAAAGATGTATATGGTTCAATGGAGGAAGTTCACCAACAAGAAGAATAAAACATGGGATGGAGATGGCTTAATAGTCCTCAGTAGTTCGGGTATTACTTTCAAATGTGATGTCAAAGGCAATGGAAATTATAAGCAAATGGGTAAAACTTCGAAGACCAAGACTGAGGGAATAATCGCAGTGGGGTCCTACGAACTAGAAATAGATTACGAGATTACAGACAAAACAACCCTAAATAATTCTCAGGATGTAGGTCAAGAAAATAAGGTTCCTCTGCATCATATACCAGCGCCGCCTCGAAACCAGTTTAAGAAGGTAGTTCCTTTAGGAACATCGAATGCACAGACCACTGCCAGAGTCTCAACGAACAATAGAAACCCTATTCATGACCCTGACGCAGAAAATGCTCTTATTATGACCAGGCCACCCAATAGAAAGCGTGAAGATACCATTGATGTGGTCGTTGACCCTGTTCTTTCAAGATTGTTAAGACCCCACCAACGTGAAGCAGTTTCATTCGTCTACGAGTGCTTAATGGGATTCAAAAACTTTAAAGGAAATGGTGCTTTACTCGCTGACGAAATGGGTTTGGGAAAAACTCTTACCACTATTACACTCATATGGACCCTATTAAAACAAACCCCTTATTCTGAAGATGTATCTCCAATTTGTAAGAAAGTATTAATTACTTGTCCTGTCACATTAATTGGTAACTGGAAAAAAGAATTCAAGAAATGGTTAAATATCAATAGGATTGGTGTTCTCACTGTAAACAATAAGCAAAATGCAAGCAAGGATAAACAGGAAATTAAAAGTTTTGGTAAGACTAGAATCTATCAAGTCTTGATAATGAGCTACGAAAAAGTCTTATCATGTCAAAATGAATTATCAACTATCAACTTTGATATGCTAGTCTGTGATGAAGGTCACAGGCTTAAGAATAGCTCAAATAAGGTTTTGAAAGTTCTTAATGACATGAATATATCGAAAAAGGTTTTGCTTACAGGTACCCCAATACAGAATGATTTGGTAGAATTTTATAATATTATAAATTTTATAAACCCTTCTGTCTTGGGCTCGTTTCAATCCTTCCAGAAGGATTTCATTAAGCCAATTCTCAGATCAAGAGAAGTAAACTGTATTAATAAAGATACCATAAAACGAGGAGAAATTAAATCTAATGAGTTGATCGAACTAACTAAAGAGTTTATATTGCGTCGTACTAGTAGTATTCTTTCGGGTTATTTGACAGAAAAGACTGATATCATTTTATTTTGTCCCCCCACTGAGCTTCAGATAGCGTTATTTAAATTTGTATTGAATTCTAAGAAATTTAATGCATTGCTAAGAGAAGATAGCTTTAATAACTCATTGACGTTGATAACTTTGTTCAAGAAAATTTGCAACTCACCCAGTTTATTGTTTCAAGATAAACTATTTAACTCGTTAATAGAGAATGAACATGATTCTACTATTGATTTAACCACGTTGTCAAAAAAGACTGCAAGTAGCAAAGTCAACATTCTAATACCTTTATTAATTGAAATTAATCAAATTGGTGATAAGACAGTGCTTATATCTAATTATACACAAACTTTAGATTTACTTGAAACTATTTTACACAAGCTAAATATATCATTCCTGAGACTAGATGGCTCAACTCCAAATAAATTACGGGACAAGCTAGTTAATGATTTCAATAAGCAGCCTGTACTGACGAATTCAGTCTTCTTATTATCCGCAAAGTCTGGGGGAGTAGGATTGAACTTAATCGGAGCCTCAAGACTAATTCTTTTTGATAATGATTGGAACCCATCGATTGATTTGCAGGCAATGGCACGAATCCATCGAGATGGACAAACGAAGCCTGTATTTATTTATAGAATTATGACCACTGGTTGTATCGATGAAAAAATCTTCCAACGTCAGATGATGAAGAATAACCTAAGTGATAAATTCTTGGATAACAAAACTGATTCAAAACTGAACTTATTTGATATGAATGACTTAAAAGATTTATTCACAATTAATGAAAAAACGTTATCTAACACGCATGATTTATTGCAATGTGACTGTTCTGGCATAGGAGAAGATATTAATCCTCTTTCAATTGGCAGTGATTCGGACGACCCACATGAAGAAACTATTAACCCTGGAGGTTGGATTACAGCATTGGATTATAAACAAGAAGATCAAAAACCGAAGAGGCAGCAAGCTAGTATGATCAATGCTTTAATTGATTATAAGCATTATAATCCTATTAATGTATCTGAGCACCTAGATTGCGGTGACTTGGTTACAAAAAATATAATTCAAAAGTCAAAGGAGGGATCAATGCCAATACCAATTACATATATGCTTACTAAGGTTACGAATTGCACATCAGAATAGAAATCTATAGAACTATAGAACCTAAATTTAATTTCCTTGCATTCTTTTCATCCTGGCTTCAGCTGCTCTCGCTCTTTGTTCTCTCATTATTCTCATTTTCTGTTGTTCAGAAAGGCCGCTAGTCTCTGTTAAAGAACTAGGCACTTTACCACCACCTAAAGTTCCGCCTGATGAGTACGTTGGTTTTTTGAGTTCCATTTCTGTACGTTTTGCTAACTCATCTTCTATCATTTTCTTCTTATCCTCATCTATCTTCTTTTGTTCTTCTTTTTGTTCTCGTTCAACTTCCTCTTTTGATTTGGGATTACCTACTTTTGATAATTGCCAATCACAGTAGTCCTCGCCTAGAGAATATCTTGCTATTTGAAAAGCCCTTCTTGTTGCTGTATTTCCTGCTAGTTCAAATGGTGTCTTACCGAAACGATTAGAAATAGTTGGATCAGCTTTAAGGTTAACCATTAATACTTGCACCATATGTGATAAACCTTGAGATGAAGCGAAATGCAATAAAGTCGGGTTATGAACGTATTGATCTTTAGGCGATAGTTCATAATTAGGGGACAAACTGTTCTTATGAATATAGTTGACTAACATTGGAGCTTTTGATTTCTTTAAAAAACTTATTAATTCATTGGAATGCGTATCATTTTCATCAAGTACAATTTCTTCAGGTTTCTTTGAATGTTGTTGCTGAGAATTTTTCAAGTTATCCCGTTGTTTCTGTAACCTTTTCTTTAACTTTTCATTTGATTTTGGCATGTCATGAATAGTCAAGTACGATAAGTTTGACCATGCTTTCTTTAATTCTGATGTCGTTGCTCTTTTCGTCGTAAATGGAAAGCTTCTTATCCTATCATCGCCGTTATGTAAAACACAACCATCATATCCCACAAGAATTCTCCTACTTGATGGACCATTAGCTCTGATATAAATATTTGTACAGTCATCAATATGGGCCTTCCATGACATCAATAAGTCTCTAACTTCCCGTGTGAGTGCTTGCTCATTATATCTACGAATGCTAGACCCAGCCGAGTTTGCTTTACCTCTAGCATTATCACTTGCGCTTTGAGATCCACCTTGCTTTTTCCTTGTAGTATATCTATGAAAAGTCTTAGATTCTATTATGTTTGTTAATTGCTCTTGTTTCGACTCTTTAAAATTAGGAGCATTACCTTTGATGTTCTTAGGTACATGAGAAATGATAGCACCTGCGAAATGGCCACCACCAATCATGAGAAGGGCAGACTTCTTCATCTTTATAGGCGGGTTTGAGAATGAACGAAGTGCTTCCACTGGGTTTTCTTGTAATTGTCTTTCAGTGAAAACAGATTTATACACACCAAACACTTTTCCTTCTGGAACTAATATAGATTTGAAATAAATAAAAGGAGAATTAGTATTCAAATAACTAATTGTTCCTTCTTCTTCGTCATCGGTTGCTTCATTTTTGTCAATTGATACGCTATCAAATTTTTCAATTATTGTGTCCAACTTGGTAGACGACGATAACTCATCCTCTGATTCACTTTCACTACTATCATCAGAACCAGATATACTTTCTATTGACTCTTCTTCAATGAGTCTGTCAAATTCTGATTCTGATAATGGTGGCAAATTACTGATCGATCTTTTCAAATTTAATCTGTGATAATCAGATCTATAATGATCTCTCTTCTCATTTTGTGATGCTTTCAAATCAAACTGAAGCTTGCAAACAGAACATATATTACCATTATGTATAGGCTTATCATCTTTAGTATCTGTAGTTAGCTCTACCACTTGATCCGGTGTGGATGGTACAGATTGTGATGGAACGACTGTGGTTGAAGAATCAAAATAAATCAATTCTAATGACCCAAGAATTTTTTCTGGTAAATCATACAAGTACAGATCATTAGCATCTATATCGGTATTATTCACTTTATCCATATTATAATGTGAGTCTTCTTCTAGTCTGTACTAAGATTCAAAATCAAAACCTGAATTTTTTGACTTTTTTCGCATCAATAATCGAATCGAGTCATACTAGGGAAGACACTAACCAAAAAAG